GTTCAGGAGCCTATTATGATACACATTTTTTAATGAACAATATTTTCTTCACTAAGTTCTTTGCCTTCTGAAGTGTTTACACCTTAAGCCTTATCTTTACTTCTCTTTACTCAGAAAATGGTGACATTGTCATATCATAATAGGAAGAAAATCCTTATTTGGAGTATACACTACTGTAAGTTTGTACAGATCACATCCCTAAGACCTGTCGTTGTTTAAGGAAGCCTTGATTATATAAATCATACCTAGAAAAAACTTTTACTTCCAAATTTGTATCTGAGCATTGTTCATGTTATGAAAGATTTTTATTTGCAAAGACTGGGTATATGCTTTATTTCTGTTTTTTCTCAATGACCTGTAGTATCTAATAGGTGTACTAAAATTGTTTCGGAAGCAGGGGTTTGAAAATTTCTGATGGATGTATAGTTAATTTAGTAATTCTGTCACATGAGGTATAAGCATCCATTATGCTGTTTGCTCAGTAGACTTGCTATGTAAGTAGAACAGCATCACTCATATAGACTCTTTGATATGTATGGGCATTACTCTGATACTTGTCCTTTGTTGCTCATACTACTTGCGCATGGGCTGAGATCTTGTCTTCTTCCAAGTAGAGTGAAGTAATCCACTGTCTTTATTAGGCCCCATTCCATGTTCAAAAAAAATGAATATTGCCTTTTACTTTTGAAGCATTTAACATTTAGAGTCAATGAAGTTGCTATTTTGAGTTTAGCATTGATATTGTGAAAATAAATGCAATTTGGATTTCATTTTTCTTATTTTTATTTCCCAAATGGATTATTAAGGAATTATGCATTGTAAACAGAGGAACCTAGGTACACAGTCTTTGCACACACATTTGGGTGTATTCTGAGTTAGGGCTCATTTACATTTTGCTTCCTGATCTTTTTGTTGTGCAGGGATCCAGGTCTCCTGTTCTTACAGCGTGATTGTTTATATGTGAAGCATATCTTGCTGTTGCCTTATTTTTGTTGCTTTTGTTCATGGCAAGAATTGTCAATATGAGAATGTATATCTTTAATGCAACCATCTTAATAAAGAAGTTGAAAGAAAGAGTGCACTGATTATTGTATTACAAAGAAACTTCTCTCTGAAAGGCATGAGCAATAAATGAGACTGAATTTCTAAGCAGGATATGGAATATCACAATAGTTGTTTTGTTTTGTTTTTTTTTAAATGTTTACCAAGGAATAAAACAGACTAAAAATGATTTGGAGACCCTGGTTCCATCTTTTTTTGCTTTGCATTCAGTTTTAAGATACTTATTTGTAACTTTCAGATTATCTTGATTAACCTGTTTTTGATTGTCTGATTAGGCAGCAGAGTGTATGTTCTGGAACCACTGCCTGGATTTGTATCTTGGCTTCACCACTTAGCTAGTTGTTAGCTGCCACCAAGTCAGCCCCTGACTCATGGCAACCCCATGCACTGTGCCATCTCCATGGTGGCTGTGGATTGGACCATTGTGATCCATAGAGTTTTCATTGGCTAATTTTCAGAAGTAGCTCTCCAGGCCTTTTCTTCCTAGTCCATCTTAGTCTGAAAGCTCCACTGAAACCTCTTCAGCATCATAGCAACACACAGGCCTTTACTGACAGACATTGGTGGCTAGGCTTGAGGTGCATTAACTGGGAATCGAACTTGGGTCTCTCCCTGGAAGGTGAGAATTCCACCACTGAACCATACCACCCTTACTAGCTAGGTAAGCTTAGGAAGGTTATTTAATTTTTGTATGCCTCAATTTCCTTACCTGAAAAATGGGACTAATAAGAGTACTGACCTCAAAGAGTGTTTATGAGGATGAAGTGAGTTAAATATAAAATCCTTAAATAGTGTTCAGCATGTAGTAGGCAGTCTAAATGCTAACTGTCATTACTGACTTAAGAGCACCTAATGCTGACATTCTTAGCCTGTAATCCATGGGATTTGAGGGGTGCCAGCTTGAAGTCTCGGGTGTTTTGGTGTGGGTTTGAACCGCCAGCCTTCTGGTTAGCAGTCAGATGCCTTAGGCACTACGCCACCAGAGCTTCTGTTTATTTTCCTACTGGTAGTTTAAAAAAAAAAAAAAAAACTAGATGTTAATAAGGTTAATGACATTGAAAGATAATATATATTGAGATTGGCTCTAGAAAGGGTTAAGTTTGGTTTCCCTGCTTTTGACTCAATATTTTCATAAGGTAATTTCCAAGATAAGCAATAAAATCTTTGACTTAACCTTGTGATAGATAGTAGAGAATTTTACATGAACAGATGACCACTCACTACTACTGCTTTTGTGAATTGAAGTCACTTGTATAAATACACTGAAAAGTAATTTTTAACCTATTGAAAATATTAAGGGTGATACTGCTTGTTTTTTATTTCCCAATTTGTAAATATTTATTAATTATGTAATATTTCAGATAAACAGAAAAATGTAGGAAACAACATACAACAGTTCTTGCCACTGAATTAAACAGATGTTAACATTTTGCTCTATTTGTGGCAGGTGTTTGTTTTTTTGGTTTTTTAAGGAAATCAAACATTGCAGATAGGCCTTTTCCTTACTGAGGTCCAGTTGGATTTACCCCTTTTGCTGTTACAAATAGCATTCAAATATTCATGTAAAATTTGAGCACTTCTCTTGGAAAGATAGCTAGGAATGGGACTGTTGGAATGTAGATACTCATATTTTCTGTTTTAACCTCAGTGTTACAAAATTGTTGAGCAAAGTACCATATTCTTCTCCCACCAGTAATGGAAGAGTTCCTGTTGCCCATATTCTTACAAATACTTGATGTTACTCAACACCTGGACAGTCTGATGGGTTTGAAATAGTATCCTTGAAGTAACTTGTAATTTTTCTGATTGCTATTGAAACTGATGATCTTTTCTATATTGTCCATTTAGTTTCCCTTTACTGTGTACTGCCTATTAATAGCCTTTGCTAGAATTTTTGTATTGTTGTGTTTTACCTTTTTCCTATTGATTTCAGTAGGTATTGTGGTAGTTCAGTTTGTGTGTCAACTTGACTGGGCCTGGTTGAGTGGCTGGGCAGCTGGATGTAGTATTCCCCATGATGAGACTGATAATCATCTCCATGGTGGAATCTACTGTGAGTAGCTGCCTTTGGGTATGTGGTCTGCTTCCTGTATATAAGGAGAAGCATTGGGAATGGTCTCTAGCATATGGCACGCTTGGACCCTGCGTGTAGCCGTGTCATTGCTCAGCAGCCTGCTATGTTCTGCCGACCTTGGGACTTACAATGGACTTGAATTAATGGCCTGCCGTGTGGTTTGGTAAATTGGGACTGTGCCTTGTTACTTGTCAACCTTGGGCTTGTCAGCCTCAGCAAGCCAGCAGCTGAGTGAAGAAAAGCCTCGAGCTTCAGAGGGCCAGGAGCAGGAGGCAGAGCTGAAGCCCAAGGTTGAGGGGCTTTCACCCAGCCCCCTAAAGGCTGGCACTTTGAACTCAGACTTAAAGCCTCCAAATTGTAAGAATAAACTCCTGTTTGTTAAGGCCATCCCATTTGTGGTATATTCTTGTCAGAGTGGCACTAAGGAACCGGAACAGGTATACTCTGTATATTCTGGATACTAATCCTCTGACATTTATATGAGTTGCAAATGTCGCCTCTATAATTTATATTTTCACTTTAGATTTTTGTTATACAAACTTTTTAATTTTAATGCCGATTTCTCTGTTTTCCTCATGGTCTGTGCTTCTTGTCATAAAAATATTCATGCATGTTTTCTTCTAAATATATTAGTTTTATTTTACATTTTTAAATCTTCATCTCATTTAAACCATATATTTCTGTATATCATTTGAGAAAAGATCTAATTTTTACCATATTCAATTCAAGTAGTCCCTGATTTAATGATAAGGTTCTGTTCCGACTCCATTGTAAGTCGGTTCTGATGTAAATTGTATACTTTTTTTTTTTTAGTTTGCATTATTATTGCCTTTTATAATCAGTATCTGTAAATCTAATCTTTGTCTTTGGGAGTTGGAAACATTACACAAAACTTACCGATACGATGACATCAGCAAATTATGTGCTGCATCACTGTATGTAGTACCTGTTACTGATAATAAAATGTTCCCCAAAAAGATGGTTGTAAGTGCAGTTCTTTGTAACTCAAGTATGTCATAAGTCGGGGACTACCTGTCCTCATATTTAATTGTCATGGTACCCTTTTGTGTCATCAGAGTTCTTCAGAGAAACCAGCAGTCTGCAAACTCAGGAAGGCTGGAGCCCAAAATCTGTAGAGCAGGCTGGACACACAGACAGAATTTCTGTTACAGTCTTAAGACAGAATTTCTTCAGCAAACCTGTTTTTCCTCGTAAGACCTTCAGCTGAGTGGATGAAGCCCGCTCATATTATCGAGGGTAATCTTCAGTACAGTCAGCTGATGATGTGTTAGTTTATAGATTATAGATCTACAGAATATCTTCAGAGCAATATCTAGACCAGTGTTTGACCAAACAGCTGGGCACCATAGCCTAGCCAAGTTGACACACAGAATTAAATCATCACAAAATTAAACTTACTAAAAAGTTCATCTTTTTATTTTTTATTCACTTGTCATGTAAAATTCCCATATTATTTGTAGCTTTTTCTGTATGCTCTACTCTAGTACCATATCTATCCCTAGAAACACAAAAACGCAACCATTGGCCGTGGAGCCGGATCTGACTCACAGTGGCCCCTCCTTGGGTTTCTGAGGTGGTATCGCTACGGAAGTAGATTGCCCAACCTTCCTTATAAGGAGTGGCTGGTGGGTTT